TTTTGGCAACTTTTCAGATTAATCTAAACAGTTCCTCTGGAATAGTCTGGCCGATACGATCATTTTAGGGGGTGAGACAACAGAGAATAGAATTCACATGAATAAACTGATTAGGTACATCTCATCTGTCAAGTTTCTCTAACTGCAAATTTCTCTTTGAAGAGGAATACAATCAATTATATGGAATACAGACCATATGTCCTAGCAGGAGGCTCATCAATTGTGTTCTGATTAAGAAGCTTATTTGGACAGCAGAGTAGCGCTCTATAAATCCCAATGTGCTACCTAGCATGATGGAACGTTAAATAAAGTATCATCTCATCAAAAGAGCTCTCCCAGCCTGGAAGCAATAACCACTTAACACTAATACAAAGGTTGGCAACCTATGGCCAACCTAGCCTAGATATGACTTACAAAGCTAGGCTGTCAGCAGTGATTTGGTACTACCTGGAGGCGCAGGGGGAAGGGGGAGGGCGGCATGGAACGGCAGTGGCATTTGGGCCTGGGGAGGGGGGGACAGAGAGGTAGCAGTCAGGTCAGAATCAGCAGCTTGTCTTTGGACCTAGCTCTGCTGCTCCTGAAAAGGTTAGTGGCCCCTGCTCTAATACTGGTAAGTGGGCTTAGTGCTGCTAATAGCCTGTAAGGTAGGACCCAGAACAGCAAGCAAATGGCTAGAAAGTAAAAAAAAGAGAGGAAGCTACTAGGATGCAACTGATAACTATGACCAGCCAAAAAAACCAAAACAAAACCAAACCCCAAATCAAGAACAAACAACCCTCCTCGCCGCCCTGAATCCAACCCCCCCGCCACGCAAACCTGCAACAACACTTCAACCGAAGTTCAGTATAGTTACTGCTGGTCTTCCCACAAGAAATGGAACTGTCTTGAAGTTACAAACCAGCTCTCTAAGTACAGCAAAAGCTGTGTTAACCAGCACTTTATTAGCCAGAAAATTCTATTAACCAGCATCCGAGGGATGCAGCAAAAGCGAAACCGGAAGTACCACTTTCTGGTTTTGCCGCCACAGCGAGCAGAGTTCTTGCCATTACTTTGGCCCACGGCCCAGGCAAAGCAGCCTGCGCAGGTCCCTCCTCCCTGTTCCTTGGCACACTGACTCTGGGGAGTGAACTACACAGTGCGTATTTGATTAAACAGACTATTTGATTAACAGATAACAGAGCTTTTACTGTACCACCAAAAAGCATTCTGCGATTACTGGTAGTCTATGGACCACAGTTTGAGATCCACTGAATTAGACAGAAGAGGTAGAAAGAGTTGAAAGGATGAAGTTTACATACTTCCTAGTTTGTTACCCAATTAAAATATATACAAATTTCTCAGCCCTTTCATACCAGTGCTTGCTTGTTTATAATTAATTAATGGGCATATAGTAGGGATATATTCTAACAGTCAAATATTGTTAGAAAAATGTGGTGAAAAGGCAGGCAAAGACGAAGGTTAGGGATAGACATTACACATAAACCAGTTTAAGTGATTAGAAACTGGTTTAAACCTGTAACAGAACAGACATTCAGTGCACATAAACCAGTTTGAAAATGGCTGAAACTGGTTTGAGATAAACCTGGTTGAATGTAGCATCAGACTTAACTGATTTGGGTCAAACTGGTTTAATGCAATTCCAGACCACTTTCTGGTTTAACTTAAGCCAGAGTCCCCCAGTATCTCAGATACTTTGCAGCCCTGGGCTGGGCTGTCTGCTCCAGAGCAGGGCTGGTCCCTCCCCTCTGCTCCCTAGCTGGGAGTTCCAGCAGAGACTGGCTTCCCCCCCCACCACAGCATAGCCCATAGCCAGCATGTGGTATGCTAGCTAATGGTGAGTGGTGTCTGTATAAGGCAGACAGGACAGTGTCCGCTTAGGGCTTTTGGAGGCTAATGAACAGGTCAGCTGGTAATGTCCTGCCAGGGCCTGGCCACACACCCCCTCACCTCATTACTGTGGAAGAGAAGGGAGGGCTGCTTTAGTGTCCCCTGAACTCTAGCTTGAGCCACTGCAGGCATGTGCCTGCATTTTCTCAGTCCAGAGGGGAATGCCTATGCACTTGCAAACTGGTTCAGCCCAGCCAGGTTAGACTAACCTGCAAAGATTGAATCAATTCAGGCTCAGGTTTTTAAATATTTGTATAAGGGGTGCACAGATAGAGATTTTGGGGGCCGATACTAGTAGCCGAATTTTAAGGAGGCATATCGGCCGATACGGACCTGATTTCCAATACAGATGTGTGCAGCTGGTAAGTCTGCTGTGGTGAAAGGGGACGGGGGGCAGATCAACAGCCCCCACAGTGAGGGAGGGAGTGGGGCTGGAGTAGGCGCTGCCCAGCCAGGGTGGGGCGGGATGGGGGCACGGCGAGGAGGAGGTGGTTCCTGCCACTCATCCAGGAGGGCACGGGGTGCATGTGCCCCTGGATCTGTGCTGGGCAGGCTGCAGCACTGCACTCAGGGCAAGTGATGGTGGCGCTGGGAGGAGGGGAGGCTGCACTCACCTCATATTTCACTATAGCACCCCCTCCTAGCACCACTGCCACCCGCCCCGAGCGCAGTGCAGCGCGACCCCAGCCCGCCGCTCACTTGGCCTGCCCTGCGCACATAGTTTCATAGTAGCTAGGGTCAGGAGCCCTAAACCTATTCTCCATCAGCTTATGACCATTGTTTCTTGTCACCCCAGGTGGTGCTGGGGAGAAAAGAGCTCTGCCTATTTGCTGTTGATCCCCCCGATGAGCTTGTAGGCAGCCACCAGGTCCCCCCTCAGCCTCCTCTTGCTGAGGCTGAACAGGTTCAGGTCCTTCAGTCTCTCCTCGTAGGGCCTGTCCTGCTGCCCTCTCACCAAGCGGGTGGCCCTCCTCTGAACCCTCTCCAGGCTGGCCACATCCCTTTTGGAGTGCAGCACCCAGCACTGGACACAGTACTCCAACTGCGGCCTGACCAAAGTCGCATAGAGGGGAAGTATCACCTCTCTGGACCGGCTTGAGATGCACCTTTGGATGTATGACAAGGTATGGCTGGCCTTGCTGGCTGCGGTCTGGCATTGGCGGCTCATGTTCATCTTGGAGTCAATAATGACTCCAAGATCCCTTTCTCCCTTCAAGTGTGTCCACCTTGCCCCACGTCTTAGTGTCATCAGCAAACTTGGACAGCGTGCTTTCCACCCCCTCGTCCAAGTCACTGATGAAGATGTTAAACAGTGCGGGCCCAAGGACCGAGACCTGGGGTACCCCACTGCTCACATCTCACCAGGTTGAGTACAACCCGTCCACCACTACTCTCTGGGTGCGCCCCATCAGCCAGTTTTTTACCCATCCAACTGTGCAGGCATCAGTGCTGCAGTCACTTAATTTATTGATGAGGATGGGGTGAGAGACAGTGCCAAAGGCCTTCTTAAAGTCTAGAAAGACTATGTCCACAGTGACACCATCATCCAAGGATTTAGTTACTTGGTTGTAAAAGGCAATCAGGTTGGTCTGGCAGGACCTGCCTTTGGTGAACCCATGCTGATTGCCCCTGAGCATGATCTCCCCTGCAGGCCCTCCACAGATATACTCCTTGATGATCCTCTCCAAGAGCTTCCCGAGCACTGAGGTGAGGCTTACAGGCCTATAATTACTTGGGTCCTCCTTACTCCCCTTCTTAAAAATAGGGACCACATTAGCCAGTTTCCAATCCCCCAGCACCTGGCCAGATGACCACGAATGCTCATACAGCCAGGCCAAGGGCTCTGCCAGCTCCCTCAACACCCTTGGGTGGAGGGCATCTGGACCTGCAGATTTAAAAATGTCTAGCCCTTCCAGAAGATCCCTAACTACCTCTGCATTGACTGAAGGCTTGATAGAGCTATCCCCAAGATTGTCCCTACCTCTGGTAGGTGGGATATCCCGGTCCCTGTTCAGGAAAACAGAGGCAAAGAAACTGTTAAAAATATCAGCGTTCTTGTCTGGCGTGGTCACCAGATAACCGTTTGTGTCTTGCAGGGGCCCTACATTGCCTGGTGCCCTCTTCTTGCTCCCAATGTACTTGAAAAAGGACTTTTTGTTGTCCTTAATCCTGGACGCAGATCCAGAGGCACATGCTCTCCCCCTTCCCTGGACGAACCGCGGCTCCGTCCTGCACCTGCTGTGCTCCAACTGGGCCGTGCCTGCCTCAGCCCTAGCTCCACTCCCTCCCTCACCATGGGGGTCATTATCTGCTCCCCCATGCCGCTTCCATTTCACCACAACAGACTTACCAACTGCATGCAGCTCTCCACACTGCCAGGCTGTGCTCCTTGCTGCCTGTGTGCTACGCTGTGGCTGTGCACATGCATGGGCATTTATCAGCCAAATTATTGACCAGATCAGGCCAATTTCTGATATAATCAATTTTCTTTATATTGATGCCGACCCGATATCGGACTAATGTATCAGTGCACCTCTACTATGTATACAATTTCACAAAGAATAAATGACATGCAAAATAGATGTTCCATGCATAGCCTATAAAGGGTGTGTCCAGATGTATGTGGATGTTTGGTTCCCTGGGGACAAGTAGCAGCAGTGCACCTTGTGCCACAACTACCTGTCCCTGGGAAATGCCCGTGCCATGTGCGCTTTGGCGTGCAGCAAATTGCCCCAGGGGCAGTAGGGGCCTTACACCTGGGGTCCTGGGGCTGAAGCCACAGTGATCCTGCTGGGTGGAGCCTGGCCAGCTGCCACAGTGTGGTTCTAAGTGGCCTGGCTCCACTTTTTAGCAGTGCATGCTGCTCAAGCGTACACTTCGGTTTTTTTGTTTTTTACCCCTGGATATAAACATGTTTGCAGCGCCACATACCGCATGACTGTGCTCTCTGGATGTACCCTAAGAGTACATGATTTTTCCATTGAGTTGTATCCATATGAGATGATTGGCTGACTGGAGGACACAGTCCTGAACTATTTCTTGATATTTATATCAGGAAAATGCATTTACTTTGAACTTTGAGATAGTGTTGGGGGATTCATAATTCTACATACATGTTTTCTTTCTGTGGCCTTCAGAGATTTTGCAGCATAGTAAAAAAGCTGGGTCCCGCACAATGCTGCCCAGTATTTTGTCCAAGATGCTACCTAGAAAAAAAAAAAAAAAAAGAGAGAGCAACAGATTAATAAAATATTTCATGCTGCCTAGCAGAGTTAGAAATGCATTCATGTTAACTTCATCATGCAACAAACTTTGTGAGGGCAGCTACTAGATCAGCACTTTTCCTCAACTAAAGAGTGCCGTTTTTTCACTGGTGCTATTTCTAGTTTAATTAGAATACATGCTTACGGAACAAAATATGAATAAGGAAAGCATCAAACAGCTCTTTACCATTGACCGAGGCATTAAACAACCTACATTTTTTTCCTCTACTTTATTAAGTTTTTTCTAATTCAACACTTGTGTTGACATACAAAGTATAATTATACCTTTGCCATAAAGGGTCCAACACCATCAAGGAGTTAGAGCATTTGTTTTTGATTAGAAATTACTATTATATAAACACACTATATGCACGATACATACCAAAACCTACTAGTTAATATTCAAATCCAAAGTTAACATTAATCAGGTGATGCTTTACATAGTGGTGTGCTTATCTGACTGTCAACTGGAAAACTGAGCACAATACCTTAACATGTGCCTCTCCAAAGAAAGAAATTGGAGCTCTAATGTTGCTCACATGACATAATTCACAAGTCAGGTGAATGCAAGACGTATTTATGACAATTAAAACAACCAAACAACCTATGCTCCTTTGACTCAAAACATGCAGTTCTGATAAACTGCTCATTGTTAGCAAATTGTCACTTGAAATTAAAATGTTTAAATAAAATCCAAGTCCCCTGCTGTTAGAAGAAATACCGATAAGAGACAATATCCTTGCTGTTGGGTCATCAGCACTGAAACACCTTGATACTAGATATAAACCTCTAATGAATAAAAAGGACAAATGTGTTTTTCTTTCTTTGTAGTAGAAATAAAAATCAAGCTGATAAAAGAAAATGTAGTATTGTGAGTATTCACTTTATTTGTATACATTTACATGATACCTTAATTCTATTTTTAATAGCGAACCTATTTCTCAAGATTTGCCACAAAACATAGCAATAAAAAGACTAACTGTAAGCCAAGCATATTCACAGCACTACTCACTGACAGAAAATTCCAGTAGCTTTAAATGTCTTTATTATGGTTTGTACAGTCCTGATAACACTTTTAGATTTAGCAGGCCAGGATATTTAAGCATTTTCAAAATCTAAACTGAATACACAGAACAAAAAGGAAGCCATTTGCATTAAGATATAATCATCAACTGCTTAAAGAGAAGACTATTTATAAATAAACATCTTACTAGAACAAGGACATTTATCATTACGTTAGCCTAGGCTTGCTAATAAGAATGAGGGATGCAGGAGTAGGTATGGTATTTATGCTTGAGCTACCCAAGAAATAAGAACTGCCAAATTACAGAAAAATCTACATGGTGCATACCTTAGATGGTGTAAACTGGCAAGTACCATTTTATATCAACTACGGATCTAACCATAAATGGGGAAAATGACATTGTCCAAGGAACTTAGTTTGTTTACTCCTTGGAGCTATTTGCCCAACATGGAGGGGGTATGGAAACAAATGTTTAGAACTTCTATACTCCAGTTGTCCATGAATAATAGTACTACTAACAGTCTAGTCACCAGCCATAAACAAAGTCACATTTCAAACACACAATACTGGTTTGGGGAATAAATCTCAAAAAAATCCACTGGAATTAAGATGAAAAATATTTAGATCTAAAAATGAGAATAAAATTCAGAGTCTGGTAGTACAAGTCTACTCGACTCTGAATAAATAAACCAATTTAAACATTATTGAGATAAATACCTTTTTGAAACAAAAAAATAATTAAGACCTCAGATCCTGCGATTACATTGAGAAGGTGAGTACTAATATCAAGGCAGTTTTGCACAGCTGCAAGAGTCCATTACTGGAATCTTAATCTGTGATTTATTTTGTGCAGCCTTTTATAACTGCCTTGGCTTCAGGGAGCATAACAGTTATCTATAGAATAGTAATTACATATAAAAACATCATTAGCATAGTGCTAATGTTATTCTTTAAAGAAGGGAAAAGAAAGGAATTTAGTGAAGGATGCCATTTAATCCTTAATACGTTTAGTTTTAGTCTCGCCAAGCATTATTAGGCTTGTGTGAATAGGGAAGTATTCAATTTAGATTCAGCCAATTCGGAGGACAGCAATTAGATTCAGAAATTCAGCCCACTGTCCCAAATTGATTTGACCAAATCGGCTTCGGAAGATTCGGCAGTAGAGATTCGGTGATTCGGCCATAGACTATAATGAAGAATCACTGAAATACCTCAAAATGTCTCATTTTTTTTGGCAGATTTGGATGAAAACAGCAGCACATGAAGGCATGAAGCCTGCCACATTTCAAGGAGGTAGGTGTAGTGGTTTCTGGGAAACTGCACCTCAAACTGCTGAAAGCAAACTCATTTCACTTGTGTGTTAAGGCAGATTTGGATGAAAACAGCAGGGATAGTAGCCTGTAACAGGAGGCCTTCGTGGTAACTGATTAGATCTCCGCCCACTCACCTGTTTCTGGGCCAGCCACCTGCCCCTCTTTTGCTCAGGCAGAAATAGCTCACAAAAGGGACAGAAAGGCTGCAGACAGAGGCTTATATGCTGTTTCAACATCCTCCCCCAGAGTACTGTGATTGGAAGGGGACTCAGGGAAAGATCACAGTCCAGCTATGACCAGTAGAGGTCACTGGCCAGCAGATGAAAAGATCACTGGAAAGATTTCCATCTTTCCCCCTGCTCCCCCTCTCTCTTCTCAGTTTCTGTTCCCCTGAAAGACTGCCTTCTGAATCTCCGAATCTTTTTAGAATTGATTCAGAAGTTCCAAATCGATTTGGAGGGGTTTTTTTTCCTCCCGATTAGATTTGGATTCAGTGATTCGGCCTCTGAATCAGGCTGAATCTTCTCCGAACTGAATTGGTGACCAAAGCTTCACACACCCCTTTTAATTATAGACATCTCTCAACAAAGCAGAAGGTTAAATACTGCATGCATAAAAGATCTAAAGCTGTGGCAGCTGTAAAAAAAATGAGTTCTTCTTTCTTTAGGCTCAGGTCAACTTTAAACAGAAATATTGTGAAAATATTAATTTTTTACTAACTGCCAGGATCTTAATCTAATAAATACAGTGCATCAACATTTTAATGGTTTTCTTTTTTCACTGGAGGATATCAGCAGACAAAAAGGAAAAAAAGCAGACTACAGTAAAGTACATATATTTAGAAGCATTTCTGTGCAAGTAAAAAATTTGGGTAACATTTAAGATTAATGGAATACTTTTGATGGAGCAAGAAAGATCAATCTTCCCTGATGATAACTAACCCCGATTTAGACAATACATATGAATACCAAGAATATATACAAGCACGTTTGCTCATAAATGTAAGTGGCAGATATACATACAATTTGGCCCTTCGGTCAGTTCTTATTTGAGCACAAATCTGGCTGATTCTACCAGACCACTTTCAGTAAAGTAAAAGTGAACAAAAGTCACATTTTTAGCCCAGGAACTTTTTAAAATTTAACACAGAGGAAGAGGGAAAATGGCCATATTAATAGTCTTACTGTAGGCTTTTTGCCTTCCTTCAACAACGTCTTCCTCCTGAGAACACCTTGAATAGTAACTGCACCAGGATACAAATGAACAGCCAAATCTTCAGATTCTAGAGAACTAGAAGAAGCATGTGAGACAATAGTGTGAAAAAAACCATAAACATTTTTTCTTAAGTTACTTCTCCAATCATTACTCAAAACATAATGTAAACATCTGTTCTTTAATTCAGAAATGCTGGCATTTAATTTATTGGACTCCATTGTGGAAAAGGACTTTGGCTCCTACAAGGTATTGTTGCAGAATTTTCAATCAGAAACAAAAGTGATTAGAAAACTAATTAGCCCAGCAGGTGGTTTAGGATTTAGAAAACACAAACAAACTTTCCAAAGCTCAAGATACAGCAAAATTTCAACTATAGTTAATTAACTGGGAAAATGTTTACATTATCTGCAAACCTGTAATACTATTGCAATTTTCTGTTAGAAGTTCATTCTTAGTTCTTAATTCAAAGACTGGATATTTTTATTTGTTAGAATCCTTTGAGACAGTAAAACTGCAACACGTGCGTGCACACACACACAAGCTTAGAAAAACATGCACAATTCATTTGTAAAATATCTGAAAGCAGTAACAGCAGCAGCGACAGACAGCAGAAAAGCTGGCCCACAGCAGTAAATGATAGCGTTTTTAATGAAGCTAGAGTTCTAATAATCCTCTCCGAGTCTGAACAGTGCCCATGAGCAAGGGGCCAAAAACAGATGCCAGGTACTGTGAAAAGGAAACCTAACTTTATTAAAACTGAGCAGCTGACTGGCTTACAAAAATCTATTTTAAAACAGAAATTATTTCTTTTTTTATTTTCACTTCAGGAATCATGTCAGTGCATGTCAAACCATTTACATAATTAAACTCCTGAATACATCAGCTTTCTAGAAGCAAGCTGAGAAAGCAAAAATTTCTGAAATGCCTGTTAAAGTAAACCAGAATCCATCAGTTCATTAATCATACCATTTATGCATATACAAAAAACATAGAAATCTGGCAAACATTTACATTGCAGTTAGTGATTGCCAGGGATATGCAGACAAATTCAGAGACTGACACATGAATGTGATTTTAACTCCGTTACAGACAATATTTGATATTTATTGCATAAAAGCTGAGCTACTGCCTTCTCTTTCACAACTAGCAAACCACACTGCTGCAGACAGAGGTTATAGTTTAACTGCGTAGAACAAAGTTATGTGAGCTTAGCAACTTCCGAGGAGTTCCTTTATTGAGAATGATTTGGCACTCAAAGGGTCAATTTAATTTCAGGCTTGCAAGTTAAACAAGTTGATAATTTTGGAGGGAAAAAAGGGCAAATTTAATAAAAAGCTGTTAGCAAAGAAAATAACTTGATTGCAGTCTCAAGCATGACAAGCAGCTTTGTAGCTTACATGGTTACTCTACCCACCTATATTAAATAGCTTAAAGCATCTTTACGGCTTGATGTAAAGATTCAGTGCCTTAGAAACTGGATATACAGATCAGAACGAGCCAAAGGCCATATGATGATATAGATTAAATCACAGAAAAAGAAGTTCTGTTGTAAGAAAAAGGGCACTATCTTAATTTGGAGATGAAAGTTAGAAAGATCAAACATATCAGAAGAGAGCCACTTAATTATTAAACCAGTCACCAACACCAGAGGGAAAGTTTGTGACCTCTGTGTGCAGGGGGATTGTACCTGCTGGCCTTCATGTGGCCTCGATAGCCATTTCGTGCCACTCTTGTCACCGGACCGAGAGAATGGTATAATCTGTTCCTGTTGAATTCCATTATAAATTGTATGCATTACATATACTTTTATCCACACAAGCAGAATTATTTTCTAGAACAGTGTAATAAAGTTTTCCTTGTTCTACATAACTACCTCTCCAACAGTAAGGAATAGTGGAGAATTTAATTAAGATTAAACATGCAGAGGTAGATTTCAAAATCTATTTCTTATTTAAAAACAGATGTTCTTGATGTCAGTGCTTATAACACCAGGTTATTTTTATTGGCACCTCAATGAATGGGCTTTGAGAACAGAAAGGCGGCTTTTAATTCTCATAGGACAAAATGAAAATATGGGAAGGAACAAGATTGCAGATTTTTTTGTCTTTAAATTCTGACTACAGATGATACAACAACAAGAAACAAAGGGTAATGAGACCCCTGGATTGAAAACTAGACACAGGCAAACTGCTGGTTATAGGAAAACAAAGACTTGCTAATTCAGTCTCTCGTAATGGCATCCATTTATTTCCAAATCAACCTTTGAAGGCAAGAATTTTCAATGAAAAATCACATGCACTTTCCTACGAGACAATTATCTATTTAACACAATATTCATAAAAGACAGATACATCAAACTGGATACACCTTTACTTATCTGTTGAAAATCAGCAAAGCAATATCTCATTAGTAATTTATAACTTAAAAAGCTCTAGTTTCAAAACTCAAATGCAAATGAAGTAAACTAAGCAAGCATGTTAACATTACAATACTGCAGTTTATATGGAATAGAAACTTCATACAGGAAGGTTACACGTCTGTGCCTTTAACTAGAACCATTTTAGATATTACTGCCCACTTGGATTTTAGACTTACCTTTTCATTACTGTGTCTCATTTAATGTTAGGTATAATGGGTTTAGAATGGCTGTAGCCCCACATTGAAGGGAACAAAAATATGGAATTTTCTACTACCATACTTACTTGAATATAAGATACCCCCTGATAATCAGATCTATATATGGAAAATTTATAACTGTTATAATTCTCCAGGTATAGAACCTAATTATTGGAGATTTGCCTTAAATCTATCCCCTTCTCATCGCTACAGCAAAGAAAATAAATCTGGGGAGTGAGGGAGCCTCTTTGCTCACCTTACCATCAGATCTTGCTCTGCATAAGCATATAGAAACAAGTGGAAAATATGAAAACGCTGCCCTTGAAATAAACATACCTGAGGGAAGCTTACATAGATGGAAATCACTACAGGAACCCATAAACTCAGTTCATTCAGGACTGATGCAGTTTACTTTTTTTTGAAACTGCTAGAAGTTTTAGCACAAGTACTCCATAAGCATGCTTTAAAGCAGCATTTTTGTACCTACTTTATATATAGTACAAAATATGCATATTCCAAAGCCAAAAGGCTCATAATTTACCATATAGTTTATTGGGCTGAGCCCCAGCAGAGTCAGTGGTTCAAGCCATGGCGACCCCACAGCTCAGCACTGCTCAGTACGTGCTTGCACTCCAGATACATCCACAAAGGATCCATGAGCTAATTAACACCCCTGGTCATGATTGGAACTAAGTGTTCTTATTGTGAGTCTAGGGAGCCTCCAAAAATGTTTATGCAGATGAGAGACGGGGCAATAGGGGCCCAGCTCCACATAATGAAGTGTAGGTCCACACCTATCATATGAGAAAGACAAAGAGAGGGTGACCAAGGGATTCTTGGGTGAACCATTTGGTGATGTTTGCCAGACACTTAAGGCTGGTGAAGAAACAGGAATTTTTGAAAGTGGGAAAGAAAGGCTCAGCTCAGCTGTAGGAATGAAGAGGACGTCAAAACTTATTTAATACACTGGTTCATCTGACTTGAAAAAGAGTTGGCAATGAGAGGGATTGAGGGCAATGGGCACTACCACAGACTTTATCCAAATGGGCTACACTAACTTATTCTTCCGGTAGATTCCCATCAATCTCAGTCGTTTTAGGATCAAGCACTTCTGGCACCAAGGGGAGAGTGTCAGGGCTGGCTTTGGCCCTCTGCTGCTGGCCTGATATTGCAGTACCATCCGGCCCAGTACCAGTTCTTTTCTGGGGGAGTGACTGTTTTTTAAGGGCCACACAAAAAAAGGTTCTTATCAATCAGTATGGGGCCATATATGTTTTATAGTCATGCTCAGTGTTGACTGCATTCAATCAACTTCATAGCTTGGTTCCATTATGAGCACATGCTGCTTTTGGCAGCAGTTTAATGATTGACAATGTATTTAGTGAGGTTTCCTTGTATGCGAATGTAAGACATGTATTTGAGTAAATAAAAGGTAGTTGAAGATCTGGATTATATTTCCCCTGGTCCTTGGATTTCCTAGCCATTGTGTTGCATATAAAGGTTTCACAACTAACAACTAAATATATGTAGGTCTACTCTGAAGAAAGAAGATGATTAATGACATAACCACCAGCTTGGCAGGCAATTTGTCTTAATATCAGAACAACAGATATCAGGTACAGTCTGCATTATCAGCTTCTATATCAGGTACAGTTTGCATTATCTGAACGATAACTTGGTATAGTTAGCTCAACCTTATGTAAAATTGAGACCAAACCAATTAAGAGAACATCAAGCTCTGATTTGGACCTAGAATTATATACAACAGGTAAATAAAATTCTGGAAACTAACAGCTGTCTTGAAAAAGGCACTTACTAAGCATAAAAAAAAGATTAAACAAGATGGAAATTTTACATTTTTTTTACTAACTCAAATTATTTCATAATCAGTGGGCATGTCTACACATGCATTTAGGCACACCTAAATTTAATGCGCATTCATAGAATCATAACTGGAAGGGACCTGTAAGATCATCAAGTCTGGTCCCCTGCCATGAGCAGGAAGTTATTGGGCTCAGACGAGCTTGACAAGGTGCCTATCCAGCCTCATCTTGAACACCACCAAGGAGGGCAACTGCATCAGCTCTGCTGGGAGTGTGTTCCAGACTCTGGTGACCCACATTAAGTGGGTTTAGGCAGGCATCTACACACAGGTATTAAAGTGCATTAGCACTGTGTGTGGACTGATTCGGGAATAAAGTTAGTCCCGCGTCAGTCCATACACAGTTAATGCACTTTAACACAACTACAGGTGCACTTTAACTATATGTGCTTAAATTTGATACCTGCATTTGCAAGCATCAAATTTAGGCACGATTAGCCCAAAATTGCCATTTTAAAAGTGCATTAAGGGCATGCACGTGTAGACACATGCCCTAATGCACCTTAAGTTTAGGCTAATGGGCCTTCAAGCATCCTGTGCAGACATGCCCAGAGATAAGAATCTTCAACAACTCTACAAACAAATCATGACCCTATTTTCTCTCTCCAAAAAATATTGTCCAACACGAATAAATCTTGGCCTTAAGCAATCCACATATCTTTGAATTTGTAAAAAGTAATTTCATTTTTTATTTAATCTTTTTTACTTTTTAAGAAGTATCTCTAAAAATTTAGAGATAGCTTTTCCACTTAATTTTAATTAAACTAACTTACAGAGATCAAAGGTTGTGTATTTGTGACCTGCATCTATTTTTTTCAAGCAAATTAAGGAAATAAAACTTATTCTTACTTTTATATTTGTTTTTTCCCCATAATCAGCAATCCAGCAGTCTGGATTCAAGCTATTCTAAGTAAACATACCTACCAACATTCAGAAGGACAGCCAATGAGAGAAACTTCAGCATCTAACCTTTAACTGCTGCATGCTGTGTCACAATGCCAATGGATAACATTCAGCACCATCTCTAAAACTTTGAAATAAATGCTTTGGCCATCCTAGTGAACCAGAATCACAGAGTTACTCAAGACAAGATCCACATCTCAGTCTCAGAATCATTTCCAATCATGCTCTCTAGTTTCATGGGAGTACAGCAGGAAAAACAAAAAAAGTTTTTTTTTTTAAAATGTTATTTGCAAAACAGATAAGAAAGACTATATGCAAATTCCAGATTCTCCTCTTTATAGCTTTATTTTCTTTCTACATCCATATGACTTGATGCCTATTCTAGGAGTAGAAATTTCAAAACAGTTTTGGAGGCTAGTGCTGACTACGAGTTAGCTCAAGAACAGTCAGTCTCTTAAGAGACTGTTTTAGCTACTTATGCAATGAATTGTTTTAAGGGCAATTATTTTGCTCCTTCCATGAATTGGACAGTCCTTATAGGAAGAGATAGTAGAGCAAAACTTTAAATTTCTTCTCCACTGGGAACTTCTACAATTTGAACTACTTGTACTAGCCACAAGCAAAAATATTAGGACTGTGTTACAATTACTAGCCATAAACAAATACTTTGGCCAAAGTATCTACCAAGTAAGCTGTTACCATGAATATTGGTAGGCATGGTCACCCAAGTCAGTTTCTAGACTGATGGATTCCATGAATATGAAAGCAGATTGTGTATAAACAGGTGGTAGGCTAAACACTTCAATTCACTGCAATTGCTCATTAAAAAAATATTATGTTTAAAAAAACTAGTCTATAGCTGTAACAAAAGAGAAGCTTGGCACATAGAGGTTTAACAAGGGTAGAGCCCAGTCTAAGATTTGCCTCTCTCACCCAAAGGACAGATGTATGTTCTGTTCACTACTGATCTAAACTACACTGCTTACAAAAAACTGCAAAACTTAGATCGGTTTTGCCTGGGCTTTATGAATGGATGTACCTCGCCTGGTACAACCCTGAGGATACAGAAGTTCGTAATTTTTCTTCCAGTGTAAAAGTGGCCACTAGGGGAGAAAAATAACTTGGGAACAACCTGAGTGAAGAGGCTTTCTGGAGAATATTTCTCAGGAGACAGAATGTCTGTACGGCAGCAGGTTCAGAGTCCTGCTCCAAAATCCCAGCATGCTTTGTTGGTTCTCCCCACTCTCCCACGGGGCAAGGAACAGTATGTGTCAGTCCCAGCCAAACAGGGAGAAGAACACGCCCACTGAGCACTTTGGGCTGGAAATGCCCAGAGCTGAAGCAGTTAGGGGGTGTATTCCGTTTCTGGCTTGATCCCTTCCTGAATCACACTGCAGCACCTGGATGCAGGGAAGCATACAAGCACACTTTCTGTCCAGCCTTAGTTGAGTTCAAACACAGCATAGGGGAGGGAAGGTTAGAGGACTGTTCTGTACATGGCACAAACCATGCCCCCACCTTCCCCGATGATCCCTGCCTACATTCACTTAAAAATAAACAAACAAATAAAAGAAAGTCTGCAAAGTTTTCTGCTAGGCTGTGTGCTGTAAGGTCCCTTTACTGCCCAGCATTTACAATGCAGGCTCATTGCTTTATTGTTTGAACTTCTGGACAGGTCAGGTTTTTTTTGCTCATGAAAACGAACCTGGGAGAATTGCCCTGGATGATTTGAATGCATGTATGCAGCCATAGAGACTAATTTGTTCAGAGAGGCAACTCTAAGTAAGGCATCCTGCCCTGCATGACTTCAGAGCAATGTAGCTATCTGCGTCTCTTTATTCATAGGACAAGTAGTGATAGTTGATTTTCCTATGTAGAAAAGAAAGCAAGAACGAGGAGTTTGAGTGGGGTGGGATGGGAGAGCCTCAAAGCAAGGGGACACAGAGCAAGAATGCAAAAGATGGGAACTCTGAAGATATGTGAAGATGAGAAAATGAGGGGTAGCACATGATGCTGAGAGTATTGTACAAGCTTAGTGGTAGTCTGGCTTGTTTTGCATTGTGCCATAAGCCAGGTAGCAAAGCTGTCAGCTAATAATGGTAAAGTGATGCTCCTCACTTGGCTTTACTGTAACCCAGAAGCACTGAGTATCATCCAGTTTATTTTAGAGGGGAGCCTTGAACATCACTAAAATGACATTTCACTTCTGGGGTTGAGTGATAGGTTTAAGTAGTACTATCTGAAGAGAACTGAAAATATAGGTTTAAATGTGACAGGTTTTCTTACCTTTCAAATGCTGGCCATGAAGTCTCTTCACTAAGTTCTGAACCATCACTGCTACCTAGAACCAGAATGGATGATACTTTGAAACTACTTTATTCCTCATTTTATGCCATCTGTAGTCTAACTGTTCTAACTGGCAGTTTCTTATGCTAAATATTAGGAGAAATAACCATGTAATATTTGTTACAGATAAAATGTTCACCTTCGTAATTTTAATTCTAAGAATCTGAGGTTAAAATACGAGGCATAGATCTGAAAAAGGGCTGGTTTTAGGTGCCCACAATAAGCACAAATTTAAAAAGAAAGGTAACTAGTAAGGGAGGAATGGGTTCCCAAATTTTCATTTATTTATTTCATGCCTAGTAAAATGCTATTTAAAGGGGATTGCATGTATTTTAAATGGCATCAAAGTACCTAGATACTGTAGAATGTACTGGAGCCCTGCCATGAGAAACTGCTTCCCATTAAAAGGCAAACACTCATAGGAATCTCCAATATCTTAAAAATAATTACGACTTGGAAGACATGAAACAATTGTTTTAAGTTAAATTCCATTCATGGCTGTTACAAGGTTTAAATGTACTGTAAATTTTGATTATCCACATTCCAGGAAGATGAGATGTAAGGTCAGACATCAGAGCAACTATTTTGTTAAATAGCATATATGGGATGGAGTCAAAAGATGCCATAAAAATTAACAACTGAGATATGAATATATGGAAGTGTCAAATTTGCAATTATAGTATTAATTAAATCCCTCAGTCAGGCATGAAAATTAATGCATGTGCTCATAAAACTTGCACCAATTTTTTTTTATCATATAGATTTTACTTTTTAGAGAATGAAGTTGCTGCTTAGGACTTCAGGAATTTGAAGTAGTTCATTTAAAAAAAGCCCTACATGCTGTTTTTCAGATCTTGATAACTTACACATGCCTTGGTTTTAACAGCTGAAACTAAGTACACATACACAAAACTCAAAACAGACCACTTTAAATCTTTAAAATAATACAATAAGATCAAAATTATTTGTTTCAGTTATTTGTATGTATTAATTTGCCAGTGTGCTCACTCTTAACTGCTTCTATTTACGTTAAGGGATTCTGAATTTGACAATTAACCTCATAGATAATATTATGCCCCCCTCCCCGTACTGTCCAAACGCTACACAACATTTAAAATATTTAACTTCAAAGCATCCATATGATGTAGGGAAGTACTATTACCCTCATTTTACAAATGGGGAACTTTGGTGCAGAGAAGCTAAGTGACCTGTCCAGAATCAACACAGGAAATCCAAATAGTACAAGTCCTTCTCTAACCAATGGACCATCCATCCTTCTTTATCAACTGCAGCACAGTCAATGCTTCTTCCCAGTGATCTACCTTTCTGGCTCTCCATCCTTCAGACTAGCCCTGTTTTCTAGCCCCAGTTACCAACCTTGCTTCCTACCTTCAAGCAATTTTTATTGCTCAGCGCTAGCCCAGTCTCTCACCAGCCTAGTCCACTGGTTCCTCTAAATGGCACTGTGATTTTAGTGTCTCTGTGCTGCTTCTTGTTTACTTGCTATATTATGGTATAAAAAGGAAGAGAGTCCCCCAGACCTGAGAATGATTCTCTTGGGTAAGTTTTAGAATCTTATTAGGGAAATAGCCTAACTTGGGGGGTGGGTCATAGAAGCAACCTTCATCTATAAGGTAATTACAGGTCTACCCAGGAAATCCACATCCAATATGGAAACCTCTACCAGGGAATAACAAAAGATGAAAATGTAGGCTGAACTCCATGCTTCCATACTGCATACATATTTCTACATGAAAACATTTACCAGGCAAGCCACAGAAGGCATCACAGCAAAAATGAAGTAAGCCCTAACAAGTCCAGGTGGATCTTTCTGATCTAAATACATGCTAAGAATCACTTCTATAGCTTCTGTAAAGATACCAGCTGCCCCTTCAACTTTACAGCATATGCCATACAGAAAGTCAAGGTGTACATCTAAATGGCTTATTTCTATCCAAATAAAAAGACAACGTTCTCACAACATGCAAAACATGGAGACTCTTTTCACTAAGGGAAGAAAGTAGTTTCAGAAAGAAAAGCAGTAACTGAATAGACTAGGTGGTGTGGAATTCAAAGACCACCTGAGAAGGAAATATATATGGATCAAATCTAAATGGAAGACCATTTAAGGTGGGTTCAGTCTGAAAGCCTGTATTTCATTTATGCTTTTAGTAAGTGTGAGGGCCACCAAGGACTCAGTCTTCATTAAGCATGTAGTGTGTATCCAGAGATTCTACTCAGAAACCAATTCTCAGAGGATGTCCCATGATGGCGGGTGCTCCCAGCCTTCTGGGAAGATGTACATGAACCCCTTGAGGAACTTCAACACCAAAGATATTACAGAATGACAATCCCCTGAGAAAAGGAGGATGGTTAGCAGATAGCACTGCTAAGTGTACTCATTAAACTAAGGCCCCTATCACACGTTACATATATTATGTAATTTAATTGCACAATAATTTTAGACTAGTCATACATGCAAAGTAAGACCAGCCACAAGTGCATAGTAATTAATATGCAACTAACTGGTTAATCATGCAATACATTTAGACCAGCCACACATGCAAAGTAATTATCATACCATATAAAAGTCTATCCAGGTATAAAGAGAGCCAACCAGCTACAAAGTTAGTACTTGAAAAGCTGTTAACAACTCTATAGGTGGTTTCTGTCTAGCTTTAATTTGAACATGTAGCAGGGCCCTAAGGAATATACTGCAGTGTTTCAAGGATAATAAATAATCTGGATAGCAGGTAATGGAGCTGTTAGTAGTGAGCGTGATTCTGAGACAGACAGACAGACAGACAGACAGACAGACAGACAGACAGACAGACAGACAGACAGACAGACAGACAGACAGACAGACAGACAGACAGACAGACAGACAGACAGACAGACAGACAGACAGACAGACAGACTCTTGTTTGGCTCATTAGTCTGCTTTAAGCAGGCTGACCATAAAGAAATCAGGAACAATTGAAACATCTGGGACATTGCCACCCCTTTCCCCACCCAAGTCAGCAGTGCTGCTGTAGGCAGTGACAGAGGCTGACAGGCAGAGGCATGGGTGGTACAGCAAGGAGGTGGCATACCATGCTGTTCCACCTCCCTGGTGGAACACAGCATACGTCCTTGCGATTCTAGGATTCTTGCTTTAATTTTTACCAACTGGCTGGGACTGGCCTTTAAAATTCAGAACTGTCCCAGCCAAGTAGGATGTATGGTCACCCTAACTTTAAGGGTAGCCATCCTGTGGTATGTGCACCACAAAAGGCACAGACAGCATCTGTGTGGGGCACACAGCAGACCAGGGGGCGAACACGCAACAGTGGAATGTAGGGCAGGGAGCAGAAAGCAGAACAGGAGGTTTTCAGGAGCACAGGACAGGGAACAAAAGCAGAGCAGCCAGCTGGGCAAAGGAAAGGGATCAGAATGGCACTTGGGGCGGGGGTGGGGGGTGCACCATGAGACTAATTTGTGGCATACTTGCCAAAAAGGTTGGCCCCCACTGGTCTACTTGAAGCAATATGTCCTGCACCACAGGACAAACACCCTCTCTGAAGTAGTCATCCAGACAACAAGGGGCTTAGGTACATGGACAACTGGTCCAAGCAAAGGAAGGATTCATTAAGATTAAGCAAGCAGAACTGGCTAACTTGATGGTCCATTGTCTTGACACGCTCACTAGATCTTAGAACCAAAATTGCTTGATCCATGTGGGTGCTATCACAAGAACCCAGACCTGGATCTTGTCTCCATTTCTTAAAGGCCCCAAGTAAAATAAGAACAGGATGAAAAGCGTACATCAGGCAAGGAGTGCAGGAGAATAGAAAGGTATCTGATATGGAGCCTTGACTCGCTTCTCTTCTGGACCAAAACTGTGGGAACTTGGTTGAACTTTAAAAAGGTCCACCTTCAGAAACTATCATCATCAATTAAAAGACATCCTGTCTTGAGGACCATTTATGGCCCCCAGGTAGGTCTCTGCTGAGGTGTATTGCTGCTGTATTTACTATGAAGAAGGTATAGAAACCACCACGACTTCCAGAGGTAGATAGCTTCCTGACAAAAATTGTGGAGAGATCTGGTTCCTTCTAGCTGACATAGTAAATTGCTGCAGTTGTGATAGTGAACATATGAATCATTAAGGCTCCTACTTAGGGTAGGAATACCTTCCCATGCCAGTCCAATTGACCTGGGTTCCAGAATATGCATGTGCTATATCTTACCTGAACCTTCAGCTGATCTGTGGGGGCTTCTCACCTTTGAGTGGAGGTGTCCATAACAAGGGTCTTTATCAGCAGCACCTGCAAAAAGGGTATCCTGCTGCATACTTGAGTCAGATCTATCCACCAGTCTAAAGAGTAAAGTTCTTCTGGAGTGATTGTAACTATCTATGCTGTGTTTGTTTCAGGTGCACAGATTTCAACCACCCCTGCAAGGACCTCAGTCAGAGTTTAGCACTCTGTATAATGTACAGATATACTAAACTATGCTCCTTTTCCCTCAGGGTGGGATAGGACAGGAATAAGTAGAAAAGGTTTATCATCATTTGGGACCTCTGTTAGAAAAGATATGCTTGTATTGACTCCAAAACTACTGAAGTGCCAATGAACTCTGTGCTCAGTCAAAGCTAGTACAGTGATGAACATACAGAGAGCAATGAGGCTGCTAAAAGCCTGGGTGTGTCTATCCCTTTTTCTCCATTGGGACTAGGAAATACTGGGAGTAGAATCTTTTGACTGGTGTGCCTATGAACCTGTCAGGTATTCTCAATGACTCCCAGTTGTACCCGGCATCCAAACAAGACAACAATGCCCTCACAACATCTAGTTGTGTTTTACTATGTGTTTATACAACGCCAAGCACAATGGGGTCACAATTCAACTGTGGTCTGTGCCCTCCATTGAAACAAATGAGAAAAATAAAGCAATCAGAACAGATGAAGTTCAGTTCCTGTAACTGACTATTTAAAAAAAGCTAATCCAAAGTGAACGTATAGCCATACTATGTAAATTAATTTAAAAGCTGAATGGGCAGAACTCCCAACGTGTCACAGAGACCTGTCAAAGTGAAAACCACACTTACGTTTCAGTTAAGGAAGTCAGATAATTAAATGTCTGTGTCTTATCACAAGCGCTCTTTAAATTTTAAAATATTTGGTATTGAATGATTTATTTGAAACCTATATGATCTCATACTTTTAAGCAGAGCTGCTATCTAGCATTCATCTTGAATTTTGTTTTCCTTGAAATTAAGTTCAGAATTTGTCTTCTTTTTAAGATTCATGTCACCGTCTTACAATGCCAATTCCACGGTGTTCTACATGCTCTTCGAGTCTCTCCATAACATTAGTTGTTTAGCACTCCAATGTTTAATGTCTATTTTAAACCTTATTATTACGTGAATCTAGTTAAAGCAAGTTTAGTGCAATTAGTACAATATTTGGGGGGCTGAATCCTGTGGCCTTCATATCTGACATCCACCATCTATAAATAATTCAGATGAACTTCAGTGTTGATTCTGTACAGTTACATTTTTTAATGATTAAATTATTTCTTCTTCTGAGACACTTTCTGGTGAAAACCATCCCAGCACTGCCAATCAGACTTTACATTAAAGACTTATTACAAATAATTCAAAAGGTAGATTTATTTTGTTTATATGTTCCCCACCCATTTCCATCTTTTCCAGATATAAACACAAGATCAGATAAAATTGTAACTACTTAAATTAAATTTTCTGTAATTTAAAAAATCATTCTAAATATAACACTAGTTTTATAAAGGTTAAATGATCTTTTCAGATCATGCACATATGATTTCATTGCATAAATTTATGAACGTGAGACAGTCTATTAACAGCAATAGTAAATTCCTCCCTAAAATCTTATTTTGTTTTTAGAATGTACAAAAACTGTTTAAGGGGTATTCCCCCAACTTTTCTGCATCAGAAATTCTGTCTTGTCTACCCTGTATTTCCTGGAACAAGGTGTAGCTAGTTGGAAAACCAGTAGATATCAAAAGTACTGAAGAAGTAAGGTCTGAATAATTGAGGAAGAATTCTAAAATCATACTACCTTGATCTGTTGGTTTTGTTTGTAAAAACTGAATTACTGTACTTCAAACACCCGTATAAATATGCAAACAACCTATACAAGATTCAGCTCTACCACCCTTTAATTAAGGGCGGAGAAAACAATCTAGTCTTCTCAGGAAACCTCAAGGAAGAAATAAAAAGACATGGTAAGATACGGTATTCCTCACATATCTAAAGAAAGTAGAACTTTAAATTTAATAAGCAACACTTTTGTACTACTTAAAGTAACAAAAGGTGCATACAAGCCTAATCTCCCCCCCACCCTTTGCATTTCATCTTCATGTGTTTATTTTAATTTTTTTGAGCAAAAGTAATTGGACATACACTACTGGGAAAAAATCCTATATCCATAATGATGGCAAAAAAGGATAATCAAACAATTTATTTAAATGTGTTAGCCAGCTAGCTAAATTTTCTTTCAACAATATTAATTACACTATTAGACTATTCTTTCAATACTTTTTGAAAACAATCCCCTTCTTAAATTATTCCTTAGGATCAGATGAAAGTCAGGTTGGAAGGGACCTCACATGGTTATCTAGTCCAGCCCCTGCTCAACGCAGGATTGTCCCCTACTAAACCATCCTTCTATATGGTACTAAACACTATCTTTCCAATTATCTTCATGGCTCCTGGTAGCTAGTTTCAACACTTCAATTAACTACACTCTTAAATGCTTTGATGCTTAGGTAATATGCTATGCTTGCTACAAACAAACATCTTACTAGTTTTCCATAATGCTGAAAAGTAATAGACTAGGAATTACAAGGAACCTATACAGGCTTCTGAAAAATTGGGTTCACATCCTTATTTACTACTTTGTGATGTAAAAAGGATGGATGAAAAGGGTTGGGGTTTTTTTTGGTTATTTTAAATGTGTTCTAAATATCAGTAATATCAAGTTGCATTTCCCTGCAATTTACTGGGGGACCTTTCAAACATTTCAGTTTTGTTTACTGGGAGTTCTAATACCTTAGCTGAAAGCATGAGGATACCAAATCTTCAGCACAGACTTCCTTTATCCAAATGTTAGTGACTGAAGTTTAACAGGTGTTAACATAAACAAACCAACTCTAGAGTTTCAAAAATATTCAGACTAAAAATTCTTTCTTCTCTCAGATCTTCAACTCACACTCTCTTGGTTCCTATGATACCATTTTTATAGGGCTCTAATCACCATAGCAAGTCTGCAGCATATAGAAAATGTGAATTTCTAGTGTAAAAAACAAGCCATAGGAAACCCACTTCTTAGAACAACTCATTTTAGTTATATGTATCCATTATGAAGGAATGAAGAAGCAACCTAACTTTGCGGCCAGATCTTCAGTTAGTGTAAATGGACACAGATCTGATAAAATTAGGGAAGGAACCAACCTACTCCAGGTGAAGTTTCAACTTGCTCTCCCAACAATATTTTAACTATTTCAACCATTTAGATCTTACCTATACTGTATGTACTCTAGTTAGCCACTTTACAAAGATATACACTGAGTAAAATTTACAGCTTGCAAATTCCATTAGTTTCAGAGAGAGACAAATTTGGCTGATCACATGTCATAGTTCAGTATTATTTATAAACCAGCCATATCACTAACTCCTGTGTCCATTGTAGCACCATATTTTAATGAATATATAGCAGGGGTGCTCAATGCCCAGCCTGTGGGCCAGATCTGGTCCCTCATGCCATGTAATCTGTCCCACAGGGCTCTCCACTTACCCCTGGGGAACCCTGAAGGTTGTGGTCCTGTGCAGTAGAAGAGGCACACAGGGTAGCATGGGCCCAATCTCAGCATGTGGAGCCAGGCAAGAGCAGCCCCAGGGGCCAATCCTGACAAGTGGGGGCAGCACAGAGCCCAATCCAGACTGTGGACCAGCCCCATACCATTCATCTGGCCCACAAGGCAAACACCTTGAGCACCACTGACATATAGAGTAGCTTTGTCTCTTTCTTCTGATTGTCTTTACATATTATACTCTTGCAGACTCTCAGTGATCTCGCATTATGAAGCAGGATATTGGAAACTTAACTAAATAATGATCAGAGAGCTTTCTTGCCAAAGGAAACATCTAGAACAGTGGTTTTCAACTCTTTATTTGCAGATGCCTTTGGAAATTTGAAATGGAGGTACCAACCCCTTTGAATTATAAGTGTGGTTATTCACATACTTTTTATTGATTATAGTGATCTTTTGTGGACCCCTTTGAAAGTATGCAGACCCCCAGTGACCTGCAGACCACAGGTTGAAAACCATTGATCTAGACATCTCTCATTTAGTGTTTTATTACGGCTTGTATTCCATGCATCAGGCACATAAATGGCTGTGATCGGAACATTTCTAAACAATGTGCAGAAGCAACCTGAGATTTTGGGTGGAACTAGACTTTGTTTTTTATTCTTTTGGCATAGACTACAAATAATCTAGATAAAACATCCAATTATTTATTCTTATCTAACTACAAGGAAACATCCTATGTATACAGCATACATAAACTGCTTTTCAAGTCATGCCATTTTAAGCTGTGGGGGGGTGCAACTTGGAGCTAGGGGCTCCTGTTACTTTAAGGGAGAAGCTACTACAGGGATGTCCTGGGGGGGGGGAAGACTGCACTGCAGGGAGTAGGCAGTAAGTGCCTACTGCAGAGCTAGCAGCCAACCAACAGGACAACAGGGCAGAGCCCTGGTTAGGCAGCAAGAACACTGGAGTAAGCTACTCTGGAGGCTGCAGGAGCAGAAGGAGCCAGGAGATATAAGCCTGGGCTCCAGCGGCATAGGGGAGTGCAGCCCTGAACTTGACAGCGAGAGAAGCTCCTGCCAGCTGAGGCTGGTGGGGAGTGAGAGCTGCAAGTTGTGGCAGATGCTCACAAGGCTGAGAGCCAGAGAGTGGGAAGTAGTATGACAACTTGGGGGCGGGGGGGCTGTCTGTGTTTAAAGTGGTTGCTTGAACTTTTGTTCTAGTTTGAAACTGGAGGACTGGTTTGGATATAAGGGGTGGAAAGGCGGCCACAGGGTACCCAAGGAGCATACTAGATTTTGAGCCCTGCCAGAGGTGATGAGTGCCCAGAGGCACTGATGGGAACAAAGGAGGCCCTGATTAGGGCTTGAGGAACAGGGCTGTAGGCCAGCTGGAAACAGAAGGAACCCATTGGTCAAAGAAGGCTAGGGCTCACTTGGGGACCCTAGGACAGCCTCCCTTCTACAACAAAAAATAATTCCATCAAGGCATGGCAAGAAAGGGGAAAGGGGGCATCATGGAAAAAGGAACTTGAATAATATAAAACTCCAAAACAGGTCTTGAGAAATAAATTAGGCAGAGGTATGAGAAAGACCTCATCCCCATGAAAAGTCATATAAGGTGAACTTATCATTAATGTATCCATTTCCCCTAATACAAGCACTGAAGTAAAACCAAACTTTTCATAAAAAGATGTTAAACAAAAACACATGACTAATGGTTTAAAAGGTGGTTTTCATCATTCTAGCCACAACATTTAGCTCCCTCTAAGGTGGAAGCTCTTTCAAAAGAAACATATACTCTGACCCTTTTAAAATCTGGTAACCTTGGAATGTGAAACTCCTTTGTATTCTTGGATTTACTGATGATAAACAGATACAACTGGTAAATGAACTTTTACTGAACTAAAAGTGCTTCTAATTATAACAAAAGCAAATAATCCAAAATAAGTGGGATGTTTGCAACAAATGGCAATACTTGATGTTTCTACCCCCAAATAAAAATCTTTTCCATTGGACACTGTGTTTCTAAATCTGTTCTGTTACTACTAAAGATATTCTAGTCTAATTAGGATGGATTTTTCTATGTTGTTCAAGCAGTAACAGGACCATCTGAAATATAATTCCCTTAATCTGTGACTGGGGGTGGGATAAAAAGTAAGCTGCATCTAAACAGACTGCCTTCGTAACACTAGGCACCAGAGTTGTCTGAGCTAAAGATGCAAGTGGGATCATACAAGCTACATCCTCCTTGAGCTTTCTTAGAGTTTGACGTACTTATACCAGGCCCATCAAAATCACCCTGCCCCTGGGCCAAACCTGACTATGGGACTCTTGTGGCAGCAGTTGCTGTTAACAGCTGCTGCTCCACTGCCCCTGAAACTGCTTGAGGCCAATGCTGATCCCAAGCAGGGCTCCATGCCTCCGATTTCTGTGTTGGACCCTGCTCCCATTCTCTGCCCCTGAATTCCAGACTCCTCTAGGAGCCCTGCAAGCCATATGGCAACTCCATGGGCTAGATCTGGCCTGTGGCCCATACTTTTAATACCCTTTTCATTGATCTACACAATGATTATGCAATGATGTCTTTATGGATCATGCATATGTACTGTTTGTAGGTCCACAACACTAGTTTATTTCATTCCAAAGTAAACCCCTTGCTTAAGTTACACAGCCTATCACCAGCTTCCTTGCCACATACCAGTGAAATACTATAATAGTACCTATTTGAGCAGCTACTTCAGGAGGCTGGCCATCTGTCCACTCAAGACACCAGTGCAACTTACATCGATGCACAAAACTGATGAAAATTACACTGGTATTAATATGCCAAGTGGTACACCCATGGATAAATAACTCAGTAGTGCACACATTTTTGGCATTCTGAAATATCTGAAAATTATATTATCATCCCCACAGATAAAGTGACTTAAAGACTTGACATGGTATGACTTCTGAAACTTGTGACCTAGAACTTAAATTTACAATTTACTAACACATTGTCAATAAAGATCTATAACTCAGGACAGAACATTTTAATTTGGCATGATTAGAATAAAGAATTCACTTGGGAAAAAACATCTTGGAAGATAATGGGCTACAATGTTTCAGTATACTATTAAAACAAGCTTAAAAATAATCTTATTATTTCCTATAATCTGTCAACTTTTAGTTCAGTTCATACTATTTATTCTGCCATTTCATACTTATTTTTATTCTAAAATGCTATTACTTGTACTTCTGCTGGCACACACCCTCAAGTCAACTGTACTAAAAGATATATTATAACACTTTCTTAGAAAGATTTCTCACCTATTGAAATTCCACTAGAAAGGGTAGAGCTTTCCGCCTGCCCCCTGGATGGGGCATGAGGTTCCATGACACTGTCATCCAATAGGTGTCTTGGTCCTGCGTTAGGGAATGTTGCACTTTTAAATTCTGCCGTGTTCATTTTATGTATGAAACTGGGAATAAATAAGGACAGAAACATTTCTCTCAATAAATTTCAATAGCCAGTGCTTCAAGGTATTGAAAGATAGTGTGTAGTTTTGCATGGTACCCCTTGACAGAACTGGGGACTCACTGATGAAGTAAAAATATAGTAATGTTTGTCTAGATTCTTAGTATCAAAAACTGGTACAATACTCCTGAGAACAGAGGAGAGGGGGCAAGAAATGAAAGTGAAAATACTTTAAATTTCAATACAAGAGCTCTTAAAATTGAAAAGCTTCATGTATTATATATGATCAGCCAAAATGAGATCATGTTAGTCTAACTGTTGGGCAGATGAACTTCAGATTTTTATCCTAATTCTTAAAATATGCAGTTCTTCTGTGGTTTCACAAAGAGCTGAACTGCAGAAGATTCATGGTTTTCCTTCTTAAGAAGACAAGGAAAACAAGGAGACACTGAAAGGTTTGGGGTATATTTTCAAAAGAAAGCTAAAAGATTTGCTCAAATATGCTATGCACTGCACTGATGCCTAAAAAAACCTGACACTGACCTCTGACGTACAAAAATACAGTGCTTTGGGGTGTGCAGGCATACACAACCCCTGGTTGAAACTCAACTAAGTCATCACAAAGGTGCACTCCCCAGCCAGGCTGCTCCTTAGCTCTCCCTGCCCCAAGGAAGCCTGTCTGAGTTGGACAGGCTCAGTGACGAACTTATTCAATCAGCTGTTGCTGCCGTGGCAACACCTGATTCTGTTACACAAATGCCTCCATTTGAAACGGTAGCTTTTTGTCATGGATCTGCCATTCTTGTGTTGAATCTGCCATTTCTAAAGCACAACACATGAACATGTAGATGCTGGTTTTTCCTCACTGAAAGTGTATGTACTACAACAAATGTGATGACTTTTGATGACCTGTGTAACCCCTAAGAAAAGTGTAAGTGATAGAAGAGATGTACCTTAGAGTTCTTTTGCTGCATTTTTGAGTATCTACAGAAATTGTAGTCAAAACAAGCAGTAATGTGAACATGATTTTATTCGACTCTTTTAATATAAAACAATCAAAGCTTCATGAAGAAAGAAAAAGGAGCCTGCTTCCTCCCCAAGAATGGTAACTATAGACCCAAAGGACAGAATGTTTCAATGATGCAGAAACCACAAGCAGAACAAAAAGGGGTATGAAGTCACAATGATATGACATTTCACAGGTAGCTTGGTGGAAATTGCTATTTTTAGAAATCAAGCTACAAGGATGTTTCAGAAAGTAACGGCAATTTTGAAATAAAACCAATTTCACGTGCAATAAATGCAAAATTACATAGCAGTGGGGAATGCTAATGGCAGGATTGTCAAACACACGCATCATTTATTACTATGAAGACAGATGGTGTGGTTCAGTAAATGATCATTGCATACAAAATGGTTTTATTTCAAAACTACCCTTATGCCCAAAATGCCCTTCTGTGTTTTAACCAAGGAGGCTAACACTGTAAAAGACCATATAAAATAGGCTAAGAAACAGAAGTCACAACAAAAAGGCTTTATTCTAACATTGGACAAAGTCTTCCTACAGGTCATAAAGCCAATCTTTAAAAGTCCACTAAGGAGGGTAGAGACAAGTGCAGAGATTTAACTCGATGACTAGCTGCCAGTCATAGGAGCCTCATCATCTATAGACCTGCATATCAGTAACACAGTAATAAATCTACTTGGGGGCTCTAGAGATCGCCTGGGGCAGAACATGTAAGAATTGCTTCAACATTTGATCTAATTAATAGATCCTCCAAAAAAGGGATTTATTAAATACCAATTATCTTCTTTTTTAGGTGCTGTACAAAATTGAGAAGCACAAATATGTAAAACAAAAGGAAATTTTTTTCTTTCCATTCTTTTGATGGAGAGGGGCACATTTGGTATATATTTTGTTTTTCAACAGCAATTGAAGGAAAAGACTTGAAATTTCATATGACCAAAGACAGATAACTTAACATAGCTCTTACATAAAAGGGCAGATGAATCCATTTTCAAACAATAAAAGCTGAATGCATTTTATAAAAAGCCCCTCATAAGTGGACAGGCATAAGAGAAGAGAGAAATTAGATAATTATAACTAGATAGTGAATAAAATACATTGATATTAATTGCTAACAAAATGTTTGTTAGGGGTTTTTTTTTGCTGATATTACTTGGTCACAATTTAAAATCTGTCACTGAAATATTCTGTTTTAACTGAGTTGAGTCAGTTATATTAGCTATGATTAAAGAAAGCTTGTTTAGTTGAGAAATATTATACAAGATATGACAGATTAAGAATTTCATTTGATCTATTCTCACTGTGTCAAAAAGTGAACAAAACCAGACTTGTTACAACCTCTTAAATCACATAAGTATAAACGCTTTTATAAAAAACAACCAAAGATGCATGTTTTCATTCAAATGCATAATGTGGAAATCCAGGTTAGGAAAGCAAACTAAGAAAGAGTTGTTTCATTTTTCCTTGGGCCTCACCAGACATGCAGGTAAAGGTGTGACAGGGTCTGATACATGATCCATACAACTGCACCTCTTGCCATGCCTCATGTGCGAGGCAGGAGGCATGACTGTGGGATCCCATATCAGATCACATCACACCTTACTGACAGTACAGGAAGCAACCCAGATCATACCAGACTCCCCCTGAACCAACAAGTGGCAAGCTCCTGTGGCTGGGAGCCCCCTCAGCTGACAGGGCTCCCTGCTGTAGGTGTGCACCATGCGTCCCCATGGCTGGGAGTCCCATCAGCTGAGCCAGGCTCTCAGCTGCAGAGATGTATCAGATGTCTGATGTGTTCCCACAGCTGGGAGCCTGGCTCAGCTGACGGGACTTCCAGCCATGGGGTTCCCTCTGGCCTCATGTTCAATTAATGGTGTGACAGGAACCAGCCACACAGGTAATTACCTATTTTTTGTGGAATAAACTTTGTGGCTTATTACTCTTTTTATTATCTCATTAATTGATTGGATGTGTGGCCAGTTCACAACTTAAGATACAATTACCTTATTAATCACATCTTAAATGTAATGTGTGGCCAGGGTCCTTGAGACCTTCTTATGAAACAGAACTGCAAAGAATACAGTATGTTTTCAGTGGTATACCATTTCTCAATTTAGGCTGCAATCAGAAAGGCCAGATACTGACCAACTCCAAATCTTTCCCCCAACCTACTTCATCATCACCCCCCCACCAAAGATTATGTTCTCTGTAGTAAAACTTTGATACATACAATTTTCTAAGTGGCTAGCACTTTTCCAATATCAAGCAGTAAGATGTTATATTCGAAAACTGATGATTAACAATAAACAAACTCTTACTAGCATACTTTTCCAACTCGAAAGCAGAATAAATGGTTGCATTTTGTGGTTTCTTAGAGTAAAATTTGTAATGAAAATAATTTCCTTTAAAGGCAAATCTTTGGCATTAGAAGTCAATATAGTATGTGAATATACTTTACAATTTAAATATTAAGTTGAATAAAATACTGACTTGTACCCCAAACTGTGACACTTTCTATGCCCATGTGGTATCAGGTTCCTAGGTGATGGGGGGGTTGGTGGTAGCAGTGCTCCTTCAGCTGCAACGTTTTTCCTTCCACTTTGTGGAGATGCTCCCACTTCAGAGCCTGTGAACAACAGGAAAATAGGAATTTCCAAATGAGCAGAATAAATATTATGACAACCTCTAATGCAGGGGTAGGCAAAATATGGTCCATAGGCTGCATCTGGCCCACCAGGCCATTCTATCCAGCCCAGAGGGCCCCTAAAAAATTTAGAAAAATTTATATTCATCTGCTCCTGGCTGCCTGTCAAAGATGACAGGAGCTAGGGGCAGTAGGACCCAGGGGAAGTCAGCAGGTCTCAGCAGCAAGGCCAGCCCAGCCCTGCCACCTCCCATCCCAGTCTCATCTCTCCCCCTCCCCCTGCAACCATAAGCCTCTGCCTGCCACAGCTTGCATCACTGGACTGTGGGAGCACGGGCCCATGCCACTACCG